TTTTTTTAGTGTATCACTGAAAAAAAAAATTGGCTGCTGCAGCAAATCTTTTCTTTCAGTGTATCACTTTTGAAGTCAGGGAGTGATATATTATTGTATAACGACGGATGAGGAAGAAAAATATTTAAACCTTACTCGTACTTGTGTAAGTGAGATGCGGTAAACGATTCCGTTCTTGCATGACTTTGATCTTACGAGTGCAACGTCATTACACTTCTTATTTTCATTATACCTCTAATTTTAAGCAGTGTAACTTGTTGACAATTCGGTCTCGCACTCAGTCTTTCGACACGCGTTTTCTTCGTCATGATCTTTAAATTATCGCGATAATCCAGGAAATAGCTGCTCATGTTACTTCATAAAAGTCCAACCGTTCCTCTCATCTTTTCGGAGAGTAAATCGCTACGCTCACGATACGTTGCTTGTATCGTGCTCAACAGCCATAAGCACGTAATGTCTTGTAATGAAAAAAGAAAGAAAAAAAAAAGTAAACCACCGTCGATTCTGAGTCGCAGCGCATCGTCGAGACCCAATCATTCGTGGCGCCCTAACGGCGCGGGCCCGTTTCTGGACGCGAAACAGGTTGATGGCCCAATTAATGCGAGTACTCGCGTTAATGGATTAGATGTGCAGAGGCGTTATACACACGTCATGCCAGCATATTTCCCGGCGCACCCATCCTGTCCCCTCCAGGATTACCCGCTTCTTATGGGTCCGATTGATTATCCTCGTTACTCGCGCTCGCGTCTCGTCCAGTCTTGTCTCGCGGCTACCTTTCGCGTGGAACGTGGGCACCGCACTCGACAAGTATTGACACGGCGCGGCGCCGAGATACAATGGAGCACGAGGCGTTAGATATAGGAAATCAAAAATGTGAAAGTAACTACATTGGCCATCAAAATTGCAACAAGGAAACGCACGTCTTGAATCGATATTTATATTACAATGGATAGATTATGGCATACTTCTAATAAAAATACCAAGCTGTACTTCTAAGCCCTATAAACTGCCTGCATGTAAGGTGGACCGATAATTTTACATCTTTAATGATAAATGTAATTTATTATATATATATATATATATATAATAATATCATTTTGATAGCTCGTGTCTTGATGTTGCAATTATAATAGCCACAATAATAGCATAATAATCAAAGGAACTTTTATTATTAATTTACAGTCTTTTATTGTCTTATGCTGTAAGTATTATTTTGTCAGGTCTAATATCAACATTTCCAGGGCATGTTCACTGAGAAAAATAATTTACTTGAATTAAGGGGTAAGGCCACTCTAGAATTTTAGAAGTGAAACGCCTTCCGAGTGATCATCGTTGCCGAGCTCTGTCACTGCCATTTTGTAATAAAAAAATCCAAAAAAAATTTTTTTGTACACTTCAAAGTATGTAGAATAAAGTACTGAAAAAGGATTTTTCATTTCTGTTTTTATTTTCCCGTAAAAAATTATCAAAAATAGATCTTTTTTGGGGGCTCTAGAGTGGTCTTACCCCTTAAATACGAATATCAGTATAATATTTTATTACCAATGCAATTTATAATATCTAATATTTTAGTATTATTTAATATTTAGTATTATTAAATTATTATTTATATATATATTATTAAATTTAATTATTTAATATTATTAAATTTTTTAATTTTTGTAGATGAGTTTTTTAAGTGAGTTTTTTTTTAAATGAGTGAGCAATTTTATTTACGTGACAATTCATTTTCAGCGACAAAAAATCTATAAGAATCACTTTGTGATGTAGACCCATTCGTGATGTAGAAAAAGAGGTTTAATGCGTCGTACAGTGTAATTAGTAAATAAAATTGACGAAAGAATGTATAACGAAAGGTTGTAAAACCTTGATTGAGCGATTAAAAAGAAATGACATGAGAGATTACAAATTAATGTTCAATAATCTGTGTGTTCGATAAAGATATATCCTACATTAGTGATGCTGCAATAAACTAACAGAAGATTTCGCAAAATCTAGCTACGCACGGCTCTCCGACATTTCTATCAACTTCTCTCTGATATGCAATCAAGCGAGATGTAATAACGCGGAAACATCCATTCATCATCGTGATAGTGCAACGCGCAAGATGCAACGCCACGCAATGAAGGCTGCGCGTCATTAATTAAACCGGAACGTCATTTCCTTGATCGCGAATTAATGATTTCTTACTATCATTCGTTAATTTGAAATGAGTGCAACGCACGATTATTTATTTTGCAGTATCATTTCGCAAATTTGCTTACTTCACCGAAAATGTTTTATGCGTGCGTGTGTGCATACGTGTATGTGTATTCACGCATGTAATATGCATTAAGAATGTTCGAAAAAGATTTTATATATAAATTGATATAGATCTTAATTTTTAAAAACAATCCATATATATATTTTTTTAAATAAATTTAAACAAAATTCGTAAAATAATTCCAATATTTAATCCAATCGATACTTAAGTAACGTCATTTTTCCATTGTAATGATAAAATATTTCATTTAAGAATTTGATTCGTCTAAGTATCAAAGGGCCAACACTGGATGTCATGTGCAGAATTAATATACTGTAGTCATCATAAATCAATTGCTGCGAAAATGATCAATAGTCAAGTTGCATTTATCATACCACATTAATAAATTAAATAAGTTTACGATAGGAATTGGAAAAGATAAGATGTCTAAATGCGATGTAGTATACAAGATTGATTGCCTTGAGTGTGATGCAACATATGTAGGACAAACTAAGAGGCAGCTAAAAACGAAAGTCAATGAACACAGAAGGAATATTAATAAAAAAAGTGATTCTCTCTCAGTTATATCATAGCATAGGATGGTCGCAAAACATGAATTTGATTGGGAGAATATTACGATTTTGGAGCCTTTATATCTTAAAAGAATGGTGTCTGAGAGATGATCCATATAAAAAAAAAACAGACTATTGGTATCGATAAGCAAAGTGACATAGAACATCTATCTGAAATGTATCTCCTATTTTGGAATTTGAATCTTCTTTCTCTCACTTGAATATTATTATTCTCCACTACGTTTATACTGTGGATAGCCGAAATTATATTTGTTTGATATTTATTATTGTATTAGCTCTCGAGGAGAAAGGTTATAAGAATTTATAATTTTTAACTGTTTGAGGCGGTTCGCTATAAATTAAATATTGTGTGGATATATTGAATTTGAAGATGCAGACAATTTGTGTACACAACACAGAACAAATCAAGTAAAATATTTCGAACTACGCTTTCTTACAGTATGTTTTGGACACGTTGTAAATGTCAGACAGTACTTACTTTTGGACCTATGCATTCCTCGCATCTACATATTCTGCATAATAATATTAGAAATAATTTAATGTAATCAATTTTTTATTGTAACATTCTTATGAGTATTTGGAGTTTTGAAAAAAATGTTCTTAATTTCCATGTACATCAACGGTTTTTTGTTATGACATGTTTTTTATGTTATGACATGGCGATGAGATTATATATGTTTGAAATTTTGTTACCACTGAGAATGACCAGATTAAAAATCGAAATGTGTGTAGCTATTAATATACATTTAAGATAATCCTTTGTCACTTATTGTTAGACGAATCGTCGAATTTCTTAATTCTATTGAGCCGTCATTTACATTTTATTGTTTAATTGTTATTTCATTTAACTCAGTTGGTTTTCGTTGTTAATTCTATAAGATAAAAGCAGTTGCTCCGAGTTAGGTAATATTTTACGAGCGATTGAAAAAATGGGGACACGCACAGAACACGCGTCGTTCCCTAATTGATATTACGCTTCTAATTGAACCGCCCGCTCCATCTTCCTCTCGTCTCCGGAGTATAATACTTTGGAGAGAAAAAGGAAGCGCTTCATATTCCTAATTACTCGAACTAATTCCCCCTAGTTTCTTTTTTTTTTACCCTTTTCTCTTTAGCTTTCATACGCACGCGACAATGTTGCAATGCGCGCGTGCCGCACGCATTGCGCCTCGTTAAGCGAAAATCAGCGCAGGTTTGCATCCGCAAATTGCATCGTCTGCGTTCTCCATGCGCTAATTGGCGTATTTGCTTATCGAGATGTGAAGCTCAGGATATTCGTGTCCGATTCGATTTCACCATCATCATTGTCGATTTGACCATACTATCAGCGCTTGCCGCATATAATTGATCTTGTCATGGCTAAAGCTTTAGATATCAAAGTAACGCATTTCTTTGATCTGAGCCGAAATGCCGACAACCTTCCTATTAGTTATTTCAACCGCCATTTCGATTTAGTCGTCCATAATCCAATAAGCGCTTAGTATTATTGGTATAGGATATGGTTAGTAGATCCAAATGGAGGACCTATGCGCTACTTTGGTATTTGGAGCTTTAGTCATGGCTGGCATTATTTTATCCACCCTGAAAAAACGGGTTGTTTTACCTGCTTTAAAATACCCGAAATTTTGAATTTTTTTAGGCTTTATTATTGAATTTGTAGAAAAATAACACTATTACTGCGTTCCGATATTCACTACTACTGAAAATCTGTATTATTCAAGAACTTTGAATAATTATTACTTAACAAATGTTAAAAAAGAAAAAGAAACGTTTTTTTATTTTCAAAAGCGATTAATCTCCTCTTAAAAAGTTGAGTATTAAACTGCATTAAAAAATTTTGGATTAATCGGTTTTTTTTAGATATTCTCGATTATGGAAAATCGAATGTTTTTAAAAATCGGTTTTTAGTCACTTGAGTTATTTTTTTGAACATCGCTCATCCCTATAATATATATCTAAGTATAAAAAATTTGAAAAAAGACGGTAAAAGAAAAAGAAGGAAAGTTTTGTTATGAACTCAACCCACAATCTACATAAAAAATATTCTTAGCGCGAAGATACTCTCTTTGACAGACGCAAATTTTTTTATTTTTAAATCTCAAATCTTTAATCTCTCTTTCCTCGGTTCTTTCAGCTTATCATTTCGTCTTTCGTTTGGATTTCAGAGTGTTGAAACCTCCCGGTGGTGGCAGCAGCGATATTTTCGGCGCGGCCCCGGAAGAAACGAGCCCACGGCGCATCAAGGCCCACAATCAGTCCCAGCTGAGCTCGGCTCTCTTCGGTGACACCAACGGCACCGACAACGCGACCGCTGCTGTGTCGCCCCGCAGCAACAAGCCCGGTAATGATTCATACAAACGCCTGTTTGGCCCCCCCGATGCCCCATCCACCCCAAACGCGAGAAATCACATGCGCAGCAATATTCCCCTCAGCGGGGGATCGTCGATCTCGTCGCTATCGTCGGGCACCGCGATGTCGCCCGCGAAGAGCACGACCAGCAGCAATTCGACGTCAGGCATCGCCAACGGCTATGCCAGCAACGGCAGCAACTCCTCCAATGATATGACAGGTAAGAGCCGGTGGCGAACGAGGGAGCGGTAACGAAGTCTGTCCCGGGGTGGACGGTAGTCATCTGTCTACTTTTTCTCAGTATAAAATCTGGTTATATCGTTAACGATATCTAATTAGCAATTTGATGATATTGAGAACTATTTAATATTTAAAATCACTATATCTCTCCTATGATATATCTGACGGAATAATTTACTTGGAATAAATTTGCAATTTTACTGGTAACTTTAAAGCCTTCTCACTACTATCTTAGATTGTAACATCAGAAGTGAAAAAATACACAATAAAAATTCTTGCAAAATATATTTAAATATATATGTGGAAATATGTTTTAAAACAACATTTGCAATCGATAGAATCGACTTGTAAAATATGCTGAAAACTCTTTATTTTGTTAATTAATAAAAATCTTTAAAAGTTGATTTTATCGATTGCAAAATATTGCTTTATTAAAAATGATTTCTGTTCAAATATAATTTGAGAATTTTTATTGTGTGTTTTCTTGCTTTCGACGTCATAATCTAAGATAGTAAAGATGCGTAAAGAAGTCTTAATTTATGGAACTGTTGTAAATTATTTACTTTGAAATATCCAATATTCGACAATGTCGGATTAGATAAAGATGACTGTCACTGAAAATGTGCATCCGTCCCGGGACTCCCTAAACTTTTCCACATTCAGGTGATGCTCCTTTCTATAAAACATGCCTGAATACCAAGGGACGACGATCCTGATCTAAATTGAAATATGTGTGTCGCAGGCTCTTGGCGCTAAAAATCTCTTTCCGTTTTGATTATTACGCTCTTGTCACGACGGGAAGTAACTTTCTCATCGGAAACTGTATTTGATCTCTATAAGAAGTTCACACTTGTTAAAAGTACACGCGCAGACAAACTTCGCGTTTTGAGAACGATTCTCTCGTAAAAAAAGACTAAAGATTTCGTTATTTCGATTACGCTGTAGACGCGAGTACTTTACTTACATTGAAAACATACCATATTTGATCGATAGCGCAGTGCGGAACCGATCTTTTACTATTTATGAAATCAGGCCTAATGAGATCAATGGCGAAAGTTCTTTGGTCGGTCGCGAAATCGATACTCTTTTCTTTTTGCGCAAACAAACCGAGTTATCGCCGAGTCGACTTTCGGCCCGTCGATACGGAGCTAGCGAGACACTAAGAATTCTAAATGAATATCATTGACTAATATATACCGCTTTTTTTTTTAATATATGTCACCTTCCTTGAACTGTTCACAAGCAGCTTTTAGGAGAAAGAAACGATTTCGTAAGTGTGTAACGAGACATTCAAGTAGATGACACACGACACTACCACACTTTCTTTTTTTATCATGATTAGACGCGGAAAATTGCTCGAGAATCATTTCTCTCGATGAAAAAAAAATGATAAAAGCTCTCATGGAAAAAATTTAACCGTGACTGTTACGATGAAAGAAACGTTTGATTTGTCGTGGGTTTCGTAAAGAATTCGCATCATCACGTTATTTCAGGGCCTGCCACAAAAGTAGGAACACATATTTTGAGTTAGACATGTCATATTTCCGCTTAGGCCTTAAGTTCGTATCGTACATTCTGCTAATAATATTACATCTTGCTTTACGTTAAATTATCATTTATATCTATTGTTTCCCGCACACTTGTGATGAACTTGTAGTAAACGACATTGAGGAACGGCAAATTACGGTGGAAATTTATGTTCGTAATTATGTTATTAATTTTTAAAGTAAATTATTTTATGTCAATCTTGTCTCTGTAGATACTGATACACTGAGAGAAAAGTGTTTGGTATTTGTGACTATAATTGTATGATAAATATGGTCAGAAGCTCCAATTTTATAGTTATTACTGTTATAATATTAGTGATAATAATTATATTTATAATTTTATATAAAAAAGTTTAATTAACATCGAAAATGATTATAAATCGTAAATATAATTATATATTAGAACTATAAATATAATTATTTTTATTGGCATTACAGCGGTAATAACTATAAAAAGGGAGTTCCTAACTACAATTATTTTATTATACAATTACAGTTAGAAATACCAAACACTTTTCCCTGAATATGAATGGATCTATTAAATTAGAAATACACTCTTGATCATAATTCGATATTGAGTTTTGAAAGGAAGATTGTTAAAAGAACTCTTTGTCAAAGAAAAGAATATTTCGATGTCGTTTGCGATCATTCATGAATTTTCGCAGACGAGGTGCATCATCGAAACTCGATCACAATACATTTACTTTTAATTGCAATGACCTTAGATCTGTTTAACAAAAGCACGAACGGTATCGCGGGAATATTTTTTCACCATAACACCAGCATATTAATATCAGAAACAGATTCCGATGGTATATCTATACATACATCGTCGGCAGTAATAAGAAATATGGCAAAGTTTTTCTTTTTCATAATTGGCATAACACACGTGCAATTTATCCTGCTTTTTCACGATGTCACTACTGTTTCTGTATTTTTGTTGCTATGTAAATATTCATCTACCTTCCTTCACAACTTAAGCATAACACACACCGTTTTTGTTTTGCTTTTATCTTAATTTTGTAGTACGGACGAATCCAAGATATCGGAGACGTTCTTTAATCAATAATAGACACCGAGTCATTAACTTAAATGCTTGATGTCAAACAACTCTAAAAGATGTTATATATACAAAGTGTCCCAAATTTTTTGATACCGCTTGCGGGCAAGTAGCGCGACTTAAACTGACAAGGGGAGTCCTAAAAGTATTCATCGAGTTTTTCAATGTAAATTCAATGAACACTTCTGGAGTTTCCTGAATCGAAAAAGTCCTCTACCATTTTGCAATTTTCGCAATTATTTTTTAGTTACCCAATGAACCGAATGTCTAACATCGATGCACAGAACTTTAAGATATCTTTAAGAATTCTTTAAAAAACATCTTTATTTCATAAAGAACTCTGAAAGATTAACTCTTAAAGTTATCTTATGCGTCGATTTTATCCGCTTATTCGGCACTCTTTAGAAATTAATATCTCATTAACTATTGCAAAAATTGCAAAATGATAGAGGACTTTTCAGAGGACTCAGTTTAATCCAATCTACCTTTCTACAAATAGTGTATCAAAAAGTTTGGGACACTCTATATATTATATATGCGCGCGCGCAAATACAATAAATTATAATAAGGTTGAAAAACAATATAAAAAGCATATTTACGATGTAGAGTATGCGAAATTGATTTAAAGTCTCGATATAATTTTTTCGGGAAGGGACAAAATAGTACAGTATCTGCGATCCGTCCGTACAAATTGTCGCGTATTAACACAAGTTGGTTGGGTTACGGTTGTGGGTTTTGCGACGATGTTACGGTGCATGGGGTGAAATGGCTCTGTGGGTTCTTACGCACGTCTCTTCGCGCGCACGTGGCGGCGAAAACGTGGGCTGTCAAACGGTGCACAAACCGCCACCCCCGTCGCCGCATCCCCTCGACAGGAGGATTGCCGACGCGCAACCCAGTCACCGGAGACGGAATCGAGGTGACGCCTGTGAGGCGCATCCCACGAAAGTATCGAGGTAACGTTCACTAATTATCTGATTCTTCCAACACTATGTATCATGCTTATTCCCCTTCTTTTTGCGATGTATATGCGTCTCGATCCTCGTCTGATTTCTGCCTTTGCGGAATTTCATTATTTGTGTCTCGAGATAGCCGGCGAAAATATGTAGCCTAACAATGAGTAAATATAAGTCGCCAAATAATTTTACATGTGTATACGATTTTCTAATTGGTAAGTGAGTAAGTCGAGGCTTAAGTGGCACTCTTATTTAAGTTGACTGTCACTTTCTTAATTCTTTTTTTTTATGAAATTCTTGTGTGAAAGATATTTTAGAATTAAAAATTAACTCCTTTAATGTAAAGTATAAGTTAAATTTAAGTGCAAATTAAACTCAAGTTGCAAAGATTCTTATGTAATCAAGCTAATTTTTCGAACGCGAATGTTTGAATGAAGAAACAAATTAATTACTGCATGCGAGAGTTCTGTTTTAAAGCGTGAATTTACAATTATATATCCACTGATGAATTCGTGCTAATTGTAAGTGTAACACTTAATAGTGTAAGTAAAACCTCGTTACCTCGCAGCACGTGCAACTAGTGAATCGCGATAACAACGTATAATTATAAAAAATAATAACTATACAAGCAATAAATATTTATACGAAGGAAGTGCACGCGTATTTTTTCAACGAGGCTTGAATGCAATCTTGTAAGATTGAATCAAGAGTTGCAACGCGTCTATAATAGATAAAGGTATTTTGATTCATGGAGATATTCTCTCGCAACCGAGATTCCGAACATAGCGAATTCTGTATTGAACGCACAGAATTACAAGCGTGGCGTACCGTTACATATCTTTCGCGTTGTTTAATTGCAGCATTTAATACGGTCTGCGGCATACCATCGCTCGTCGCAGAGAAATACATTTAGCGATCGCACACTCAGAGAGAATAGAGAATATTTTTTATAATAATGACAATTAAGTTGCAACTGTGCAAGTTTTATACACAGTTGAAAAAAATGTGTTGAATTTAACATAAATCGCATGTCCCAAATGGTCCACTCAAATTTTTTGGTTAATTATACACAAGATGAATATGTTAGAAGGTAACACAAATATTATGTAAGAGAACGAATACAAAGAAAGATAACATCGACACAGTTTGTAAACAAACCGTGGGAACATTTTTTCCAGAAAATTAACATTGATGATACGTTAAATTAACACATACTTCATTCATTTGTCTTAGAATTTACGTTTTAAAACACATTATTTTTATATTGCTTGTTCACTTATATACTCATAAATTATGTCATTTTGACATTAAGAAACATTGAATATCAATTTTACAAAAAAATCTTTAAATAACATAATTATGTTAATTTAACACTCGATTATGTTAAAAAATTCAACACAAACTGTTAACACAAACGTGAATTAATGGACTGTTTCTAACACAAATTACAAATTTTTTTACTGTGTATGTAGAATTATAATAATTATATAGTTGAACCATTACGCGCGAAAACTTATTAATTCTCGTAATTTTATTCAGTTTTAGTTGCAATAATTATAAAGTAGTTTATTCAAATATGTATATATTGATCCTACAGGTAAAACTTGTATAGTTGTCACTTACATTTATTTGGTTTTATGGATTTATATAGTTACTACCATTACATCTTTTTCTCTGAGTGCGCAGAAATAGAAATCTACAGGGAGGTATCATTACCGCATGCTATTTATATTTTAAATGTTAGCATGTGACGTGCGTTGTTCGTTGAACTTGAGAGTTCGACGTGCGTCAAATAATAATACACAGTTGGAAACTTGAAGAATTAATAATTGCAAGTCAAAAGTAATGAGATTATTTTTTGTGTAAAAAGAATATAAAAACGATTGAAGCGTTAGCGAATTCATATTCGCGTTATTTGTGCCCATTTCCCATGTAATTTAATTCACTACAAATTCGACCAAATTTGGATTGATATGACTTTACATTGGAGACTCGCTTAAATCGTTTAGAAAAAAATTATTAGACGATATTCAAACGTAAGTGAACTCGACGAGTAGGTATTGCTAAGCGAGTTTTCAGTCATCATTCGTCGCCTCGTGTCTCAGCATTCACGGGATGCTACGGTAAGTTTATGCGATCATATTAAAGCGTAATGATAAATAAGTAGCATCGTATATATCGTTATGTCTTCTCGTAGTTTATTACAGGTGTTAATTTGGTTCACAGACGACATACGAATTTGTTCTTCAATGGCTTTACGATTGAATTGTGTGTTTAATCGCCTGTAAAATTAAGCAACTCTTTACCACTTCCTAATCCCTCTATATATTTAGATAAGCTTTCAACTCGTGCGACAATCATGATTGTACTCGTGGTTATAATTGTATGAGTTCAGGGACGATATCCTAAGATATATTTAGGGGTAGGGACTACAGTCTGTAGCATTTACGTAGTAGCGTGTGTGACGACGGTAGCATGTGGATTTTAATTAGAATTTTGTAATTTGTCGACGTCTTTCTGTTAGGACCGTAATGGCAAAATTTATTAATACATACGCGACTTAATTTTTTAATGTTTTACTTGCCGTAACAAATTTAACATTTTGCTCCGTCAGTTCAAAATGAAAATAAAATGATTCTGCAACAATTTTAGATATTTTTCTTCTTAGAAAGTAAAAAATATTGAATATTTCATAATTATAAATTACCGCTGAATATGTTTATAGTGTTATAATGTTTTGAAAAGCTCTCGAGATAAGCTACAAGAATATACAATGAAAAAAATGGGATTTCTATTTTAAATAATCGACTTAATCTTGACCTAGCCTTGACGACGCCAAGAAAACTATAATATAAGATCAGTAAAAAGATCTTTTTAAACCCTACAACTTTTATCTGAAACACTTTTCTGTAAAACTTATACTTTCCGAAATATTCACCGATTCCGATACTTTTACCTCATCCTGTATATGTGTGCGTGAGATATTGATGTAGTATATAAAAATATGTTGATGTGTTGCATTATATCAGTAAAACAGGGATTTTGTCGGAGCTCGGGTTTCACTTTAGGATTAACCCTTGAAAGTTATGTAATCTTTCATCTACAGTTTTTTTGTGCATTATTTTGCTTTGAGAGGGAAATCGACTGAATTAATTGTGAATTCCTACGCTCTGAATCATTTGCATGCCAGAAATTCATGCGTTAATGTATGTAGAAATGGAACGTAGCGTGCTCTTCAATTTTTCATATCTCGTATATATCTGTCTTTACGGATAGAACTTTATATAACATTTTTATATTACTCGGGATAGTACGATTATTGATGTGTTATAAAACCCGATCATATAAGTGAGCCTCTATTTTCTCTAAATAATGGTGCAATTTATTTAACAAAAAAAAATTGTTAAATATTTGATTTATAATTATTAATTATAATTGCATAATATGAATAAAAACACGCAGCTTCTATTTGGAAATTGCGTATCGCTAGGACTGCGTTCGGTTTGAACGCTTACATGCTTTAAGCGCTTATAAACATTATTAACATCGTTCGCTTTAACGATGTAAGCTGTTAGAGACGCGTTCATAACATAAGATAGGGTAGTAAAAACGTAAGCACTTATAAGAACTTATTGGCCAAAATGAACGGAAATGATAGTCGATTCCAGCTATAGTCTTTGGTTTCTCCATGATTAGAAATACAACAGCCATAACGAACGATGTGAGCGCTAACAGCATAAATGTCCGAACTGAACGTAGCCTAGATCTGTTTTGAGATTAGTGACGTGTCTTAGAAATAATTAGAACCAAAAGAATATGCAAAAATCAGTTTAAAATGTTAAACTAAACGTTTTTATGAAACTTTTATCAAACGTTCTATTAGGTCATACAGCGTTTTCGTCCGTAACGGATTTGAACCGATCTGGGTTAGATTAATGACGTCACACGCTTCATTATTAAAAGGTGCGTTTCGTGTCACGCATGATGTGCATAACATATTATTTTGTCCTTGTTGTTTACTGAAACTATTAAAGAAAGATAAAATGATGATGAAGGTAATCCATAGTAGAGCGTGCAATGTCATTAATCCAACCCAGATCGGTTCAGATCCGTTACGGTCGAAAATGCTAATAGAATCGTACTAATGAAAGAATTTTATGTAGTTATGAGACCAGAAAAGCCTATATATGGCGACTTGGAACATCGAACTGTACTTTCGAACAACATTTTGTTCTTTTCGATTAATTCCACTTATTAATTCTTCGATCTTATGAATTTCGCAGTGCGTCCTCTCCGTCATTCGAATTATCTGCAGTCTTTTTAGTTATCATTTTTCCAAATTTCGAGAAGTAGGATGATCTGTAGAATGGTTCCACTTGTATCGTTTTGCTACATAAAATCACTAGGCATAATTATCAAGTCTTTTTATCAGATTTTTATGGCCCAATAGGACTTTTGTATACTCCTTTTAATCGCAACTAATGAAATTTAGATATCGATTAATTTTAAATCTCAATGACTAAGTTTTAGAGAAAGAGAGAGAGAAATATATTGTCCGTTCTTATATTTAAGACCGTCTTAAATACAATCTTAAAATGTAATAAACCAATTACAGAGTCGTATTAGCATTTTAAGACATTACTCAAGATGATCTTGAAACGAAGAGAACGGACTGTGAATACCAGCCAATTAATTAAACCATACAGCGATTACTTGCCTTTATTAGAGTTAATTACTCGATTCTTCATTACTCGGTCATCGAGCAAAAAGCTCGCGATACTAGAAGAAAATGCTAGACAATTAAATAGTCGGCCAGATTTCAGAAATGTCAGAATTAATCGAGCTTCGTTCGCGACAATCTTACACTAATAAAAAAAATCGTTTCCACAGATGGCAATCCTGTAACCGGAATCGGCTACGCGTCCGAGTCGCAGAAGAACGGACCAGCCATGCAGAACGGAACCGCCAGCTCGAATTCCAGCAACAGCGGCGAGAAGTCGAACGACACGTCGCCGGCGACGGCGAAGCCGGCAGCGACGCGCACCCGCGTCCCACCCGGTGGCTATTCATCCGGACTCTGGTAAAGAGTGACACGTCGCCAACAGGGGTTGTATCCCGCTCCCCTTCCCCCCTTTTCCGAAGGGGAATATCTCGATTAATTCTTTCGGCCCTGTACTCTTAACCCATTAAAGCCCACAAATCCATCTAGAGAGCCTTCTAATCCGTAGAGTACTCTAAACTAAACGGAAATCTATTTTGCCACCATCTACCCGTGCAGCGACGGGTGAGATATCTTTTCTATGATTTTTCTAGAGACACGAGATACCTAATAGAGAGAGGCAAGATAATAAATCATGGGCTTTAGTGGATTAACGCTACACAACACTCTCTTTTGCTTTGTACTAATTCAAGGAAATATACAGAGAAGAGTAAGAACGAACCTTTAGGCTTCTTGATTCTCGAAGTAACTCTTTCGGCCTTCGGAGAGAACAATAAAATTAATTTCACATGTAACACGTGCTGATGATGAATCGCTTCTTTCAAAACGAAAACATTCAGCGATGTTCAGGTACTATTATTGTCGGGGCCAAGAGAGTTCAATGAAAGGGCGGATGAAAATAATAAAATCGCGTCGAAATATGTTAATTCCTCAATAATTCGCAACACAGAAACGAGCAGTTGGTCGCGTCCGATCAACGATCGAACGATAGGGATTGCGTATTTAAATTTATCGAGATTAGGTACACTCCTGAATTTTTCGTATTTCAATCTCGTGACATACGAGTTCTATTTCGCGAAAGATTAATTACTGATCGATTGCATTGAATAGAGGATGAGAGGATGGAAGCAAAAGTGTTTCCAGATATTTAAGCTTCCGCAGCATTTCTCAGCGTGGACGACGCGTACGAGGGTCAATGGGCTCCTTGAAATTCTTTGTAAATTACCGATCCTTTAATCAACAACTATACAGCACGGACTTTATTGCGTAACTGTATAAAGGTAGTTAAAGCGATCATCACGCGTAAAGCGTACACCTTCGGCTGGAACGCCGTACCGCGCCAGCGATTCGCGAGTAATAAATAAATCCTCACTTCGTCAAGAAGCGCGATTCCCTATCGGCGAACGATTTACATATAACGAGTCATATGAATAAGTAGAGAATATACTTTTCTTCTTTTATTATGGCTCCTGTTCACTGATACGTATCCTGGATTTCCAATACGGGTTCAATACGGCCAGTGAAATCAACGAAAAAATGTATAAGTCGAATAAACGTTTCAAGTTAATACAAATATTTGTCAGGAGTAATCACAAAAGGCGCTTAGTTTCGTCGAAAACTTGAAAAAAAAAACATACCGTAGGAAAATATATCTAACATCACTGACAAGATGATAAATAGTCAGCCCTGAGTAAATTTTTGTAGCCATTAAAGAAATAATTGGAGAGTATTGATATTATCGATGTTATTGATATAAATATTTAAATAATATATCTATTATTAAATCCATGACTTTTATTATACAAATCCTGCATATATAAGTACGCATACTTATACTATATCACAAATAGGATAATGTATAAAATATCATAATGTTAACAAGCTGTAAATAATACGTGTCTGAAGAACATTGGGCTAATAATAAATTATAAAATTAATATTTATGGGCTAATTGTTTAAATTTTAAGTCATATGACTCCTCCACAAGATTGTCGATCTTCAATAATATCTTGTCAGTGGATAGTCACAGATTTGCAATCCTAGATAAACCTAAAAAGAAGATAAGTTGGCATTTGGAATTTGCAATTTAGCGCTTTATGATGAGTCTAAGAAAGAAAAGAAATAAGCATTTAGTTTTTCTTAAAATACCTGCTGATAAACGTCTTTTGCTGTATCAATCGTAATCCCATCATAAAATTATAACATAACTCGAAAATTATGTGCAACGTTTTACGATATGCGATTTATTGGTATTCAACTCAAACCTTGCGATGTTTTCGTCGTTTTTCAAAGTGTTCGGCTTTGATAAGAGTGTTGCTCGTTTTATTCGCGATTTGTTTCGTTACCGCGGCGTTTTGCTCGTTTCCAGTGTTGCACGTTAATTCATTAATCCCATCTCGAGATAAAGGGCAATAATATGTTTACGCATACAAAAGAGAATCGAGATCGTAGGATCTGCGATTGTTGCTATAGAAAATGCGACGTTGATTAGGAACGAAAATAGAGGGAAAAAATCGTTGCCAATCAATCCTGCCAAGCGTCGAAGAGATATATTGGAAAAATAAACATCAAAACACGCAATATATATATTATTTGGGATAATAGAACACTTTGAATGGCGTAACCGTGATATTTTAAAAAAAAGGGGGAAGAGAGAGAGAGAGAGATGAAGAATTCGAGTCGCGAACGACTAGATCTAGAACGTGAGAGGAATGGACTGAAAAATAGCAGCACGTTTGACAGATGAAATTGCGAGATGGAGACCTCGGAATTGTATATTAGAAGTAGGAATATGTTATTTCGAGAAATAAAAGTGTACTATGTATAACTAATTGAAACCAAGTTTCAAGTGCTTTCTTAATCTCTCCGTGCCTTTTCGATTATATTGATTTATTGTTCGCGCGAACGATCAAAAGAAAGACCGGAGCTCCGTTTTTGCTCGCGAGAGATTAGCCTCGGTTTTGAATGGAACGAATGAAAAGAATGTGACGATAACGCAGAATGGAGGTTTATCGCTCTCAGATTTTTATCCGCGAAACTATTATTATTTATCTATTTATCGGTATTGTATACTTATCTTCTTTTCAATCGGGCGACGAAATTCGTCCGCCTGTTGCCCCGCTTCTCTTCACTTACGATAGCTACATATAATCTAATGTATTTATTTCGTAGTAAAGAGCCCATGCACATGTATTAGCGTTTCTCTTTTCTCCACGCAAAGTTTCTTACGCGGTTGTTTGGTGTGAGTAAACATTGTAACACAATGCATTTTCGTACTCGTCATAAGTAGTCTTTTTATACTCTGGCAATGATCAATAAAATTTTGTAAGCAAGATATCGCCGCCGCCTTGTTCCTCTCCAAAGTGTAGCCGTAAAGAATCGAAGCGACTTTAAATCGTATGTCCGTAATATACATTTGCGATAGTTTTTATTATGAAAATAGATTAACATAAAACACGTAACGCAATTACAAAATTAGATACATACTGAACAAGAATTATCAATATGTAGTACATTAAGCGAATATTACATTAAGCAATCAAACAAAAGTAATCATTTGGCTTTGTTTTTATATGTGTGTATGTGTGTGACAATGGATAAAGCACTACAATACGTATTAAATTCTTATATGGAGCAAATACTGTTATTATATAGATTAAAAATGCGATAAGTTACTTAGAGCGCAGCTTGATATTTATATGAAAATGCATAACAAAAAGGTAAGTACATATAATGCCCGTTTTTACATGTTATTCATAGATAGATAATCGCTTAAGAATATTTTGTACAACTCGCAAATCCTTGCAAAGTAATCACTTTTTTCCAAACAATTTCTTCAAAAATAATTGTAATGAGTATTTTTACCGTAATACGTGGCTACATTTGAGACATTAAATAGTAGCAATAAGACTTCTCATTCCGGCACCGTTGACTTTGCAAAGAGCGTTAAAGATGTGCTTGTGATTAGTTTCCTGCTCCATCCTGCTAGCTATCTCGTGCGCTCTCTTTGTGATTATAGACGATACGCCTGCCAGCCGAGCGGCATTGAATCCGTAGGATTTCGGACATGCCCCTTCGCTGAGCTTGTACAAAAACGTCACGGTCTCTTGCGACACTTCCTCTTCCTCTTCGGTTTCCACCATACATGCCTGAAAAAAATTTAAAGTGCTATCAAGAATTTCTTAAAAATAATACGTCATATCAAGATTAATAAATACGTATAATGAACTATAACAGTATAAAACTACTTTCCATACTATCTTTTGAATGAAAATGATCTATTTGAAATATGTCGAAGCTTCTCACCATATGAGTTAACGTGACTTCTTCATTGGTTTTATAATCTTCAACTAGAGAATGATAATGCGTCGAGAATAATGTGCGACATTTGAGCTTGGTCAATGCATCAACGACCGCAGCCGCTATTGCCGTACCGTCATAGGTTGATGTGCCACGTCCTGCGATGAAGAAATATTTTCTATCAAATCCGAATTGACGGAGTGAAGGAAATGGGAGAGTAATTTGTAATAACAGAATCTTGGGAGAAAGTTATGACGACAGTAATAGACACACTTGTCTTGAACGTATTGATATGCACGTGTAGTTTTCTGCTTTTTCTCACCTAACTCGTCGAGAAGTACCAGCGAATAGGGCGTAGCGTGTTGCAGTATTGTAGCGGTTTCACTCAACTCGACCAAAAACGTACTCTGGCCGGCCAAAATATCGTCGTTTGCGCCTAGCCGCGTGAAAATACGGTCCACCAGCGTCATGCAGCACGAGCTGGCTGGAACGTAGCTGCCCTAGTTATGCAAGAAAATTAAATTCATGCTTTATTGACGTAATATCCGATTATTAGTTTCTCACGTGTATTTTCTCGTGAGACTTACTATCTGCGCCATGATAGTGATCAAGCCCATTTGGCGCATGAGGGTCGATTTGCCTCCCATGTTCGGTCCCGTCAGAATCATGAAGGAGGCGGTGCCGTCGGTTGCCAATAAAGTGTCGTTCGGTATAAAGTTGTCAGACACAATGCAGGGATGTTGTCCATCTTTTATCTTGATGAATATCTAAAAAAAAAAAAAATGATAGTTCATCATAGTTGTTCCAATAAATAAGTGATTATTAAGGATTTGGCTTTGACACTCACAGTGTTTGTAAACATCATTCGTCCTTGTTTAATATTTTATAGACAACAAGGATGAGAGGATTTACATGCGAGCATGCAAAGCGAACGCACCCTAAATTATGTCTGTTATGATTTAGATACTGTTACCTCGCCATCGGATCCATCGTGAATTTCCGGGATACACATATCGCCGTTCCGCGCATAATCCGCGAGGGAGATGAGTACATCCATGGTGGCCAATTTGTAAACGGCCGCATGCCACATATCGTATTTTTCACTAAACTGCGCGAATATTCGCCTGTTAAGATCTTTCAACACCTTGTCCTTATGCTCTTCGGCATTCATTTGTCTTGTCAAAAGTTCCTGCAATGATCAAGATCATTAATCTAATTTTTTTTATTCATATTTTTACTGACAAGTTTTTCTGGAATTAAAAATATGAATTATTATCTTTGCCTTTGCCTCAGCGGTATAATAACGTTTGAAGCCTTTCCTTTGCGACTGTAATTCGTATCCAGGACCGACTTTCTTAACTTGCGACTCAGGAATCTCAATTTGATAACGTTTTCTGTCTGTTCCATGGAAAGTTACTTTTACGCCGAAATGTCGCTTTTGTTTTTCCAAGTATTTGTCTAGATCTTTTTTGATGTCTGCGAGCTCGGCCAGAACTGAATCATATTCAGCGTCAACTCCTTTCTTTGGAACGATGTAACCTTGCTTCTTAGCTTCTTCATGATCGAATGCGGTCTAAAATATTATAATGTTGCAAATACATAAGGTAAAAAAAGAAGAAAAGAAGCGATCAGCAGAACTGAAAGTAAAAGCTTACCTTAAAATAATCTAATGTCTCCCTTAAACAAGGGAAATCACCGTTCGGTTCGTACTGGGTGTAGCGAGTTATCAGGTTACTTTTGAAATCTATCGTAAAACGTAATTATATCAAACATAAAAATACATTATATATGAAAAAGCAAAATAGGCATACCATCAAACAATTCGATGAATTTTAGCACTTCTTCGAATTTGGCAAGTGTCGTAGTGAAATCTACAATCACCCTCTTCGAATATGTCGGACCTTCAAACATTATGGCTCTACCGTCCGGATGATTTTTCATTTTAGCAGCATTTCCCTGAGCGTGTATCCTATTGTAACAAAAGAAATGCATATACATTAATATTTCAGATTCTAGAAATGGAATTTGTGGATTTCTGCCTGGTAAATTTTCAACTTACTTGCTCAAAAGTCTTTCGAGGTCCGGCAGAGTTGATAAAATTATGCGAGCCGACTGCATCACGTCCATTCGATCCAGTAATTCTTGCACAGCTTCTTGGCGCTCTATAATAACGGTTTTGCGGCAAGATGGTCTGCAAACCCATTCACGCAGCAATCTAAAAATACATATCCTTAGCTTAGAATATATGAAAAAATTAGCACACCAAATAAAAAATTTACCTTTTGCCGAATGCAGTGCAGCAATGGTCTAATACATTAATGAGTGAACCTTCT